CTTGTTGGCTTCGCCAGGGTTTGCCGGGCAGGAGCCTTTTTTATCTCACACCGCGCCGCAGGTCTCTGGCCTAACAACAGGCTTTTGAGGAGCATACTCATCCGTTCAGGAACCATCACATGAGCAAATCGTCTCGGGAGAGATCCAGCCAACCGAGCTTGGTGGGTTTAGGTTGTAAGGCCTTGGCCACCCAACCGCTGCAACACACCCTGTTAAGCGTTAAGCCCAAAACCTGAGAAAGCCTTGACCGTAGGGCCGAAAACCTGAGCCTTTAAACACAAAAGCGCTATGGGATCCAGATCTTCCTGAACTCCCTGAAGCCTCAAACCCCAGAGACCAAGCTTCAATTCCGTAAGCTGTTGAAAAACCCTTTGAATCTCCGAAGCCCCTGCTTCTGCCCCAAATGCTGCACCCGGGGCCGACCTCGATTGTCCTGCTCTTGGGGCATGGTACCCACTGTGGTTGCCATGGCCTGGGAGGGCTTTGGTCAAGGGCTTTCGGGTTGCAGTGCAAGTCTTGCAGTGAGGCGGCGGGCTCATGTTCGGATAGAGACTTAGATGGCAGTAGAAGGATCAACGGACTTTGCAAACGGCTTCAAGTGTACTCATGAGCAGGTCCCTACAAATCCATTCCGGCACGCTTCCCCATGTTCTGCGACAGGAAGAGGGAGCTTCCGATTTGAATTGAAGGCTTTCTGCCCACGCGGCACAAAAGAAGCTTTAGCTCGGACACAAGTTGGATTGAGGTACATGGGCCCAGAAATTAAACGCTCACCTTCAACAATCACTTGCTGGCACACTCCGCCCAAAAAAACACCCTACATCCTATCCTTTGTCCTTGGGTGTGCTTCAACCCGGAAGTGCTTGAAGTAATGAAGCCTGATCCAGTTGCGCTATATCCCTGCCCCCTCGCACTTCAAACAAAACCCATCCGAAGCCGACCTGACAGCGAGATGAACGATCTCAGGCGAATACCGATGCAAGCTTTCCGGTTTGGGGGTCAGGGCCAAAGCCTAAAACCTAAACGAGGCTCTAAAACCTAAACAAGGCTCCCCTGGTTAATTTCAGCGTTTTGGGGCTTCGGGGTGCCAGGTCTGGGGGACGCTTGGGAGGCGTGCCTGCGTGAAGGAGCGGGCTCGCCATCGCCATTCAGGAGGCGCGCGGCCTGCGAAGAACAACGTTTACGTTTGGGATTTAGGTTAGGGCTGTTTTAGGGCTTAGGGGGTTTAGGATTTAGGGCCCCAAGCCCTGCACTCCCTTGAACTCTGAAGACGCCTGAACCTCGTGATTGCATGGACACTAAAGCTAAAAGTCCTAAAAATCACATAAGCCAATCCTTCGTTTCCTCTCCTGGCTCATGGAAGCACTTCTAAGCGCCGAAGCCATGAGTGGCTTCGGATGGTTTGCAATCTCTGGATATTACGGAAAAGAAGATGTAGACAGGGTTGTAAAACAGCTTCTGTTCTGGGTCTTGAGTATACACGCGGCTCAGGCAACAGAACACACACCGACCTCCCCTTCCCCGACAACATTGCCATATTTCTGCTCGGAGGGTCAGAAAACAAAGCCAAGACGGTGCTTAAGCCCTAATTAAACTCTTGAGCCCTAAAGCCCGAAACCTTCAACATCCTTCAACCTTAAATAAACACCCTATTCTAACATTGCTGCAGCCCTTAACCCGGTCAGTGCCTGCGACCCTGAAAACCATGTCCTCTCTTTCCGAATCTACACCAACATCTCCCGGGTTGTGCTTTTAGCGAACTCTCAAATGTGGTCTGCATAAGTACCTCAATGAAACCTTATCCCAGAACCAAACCCCCGGGAATTTCTGAAAGGATTCCCCAAACGGGGTCTTCTCTCAGCCCGTGGCCGCAGCTCAAAGGCGTCAATGTCCTGCCCACAATGTAAGCTCGTGCCGGCGTGCCGGGCTGACTCAAAACAGAGAGTCTCACATTTCGAAAGCCGCACTATCAGATCTTCCCTCTCTCAACTGTACTGGAAGAGCAGCGCAGAAACCATGAATTTTCATTGCGACGGGTGTCCTCCTCGCCACCGTTAGGATTCAGCATGGACTCCTATGCACCGTCCAATTGATGATGTTAAAAACGCCCAAGTTCCTACAGAAAATGGAATACTGGATGATATACTAGAGGTAAGCCCTCTGGTAACTTTGACTCCTCTTGTCTGCTTCACAGGCTCCTTCAGCGCACGAATCGTCACGTCTGCCTCTATCTCGAAGTCGCGCTGCCATCGCTGGCCCTCCGCGCAGAACTGCACCGTCACCTGGAGACACAAGAGAGTCTGCCTCAAGATTTCGACAAAAGCATGACGGGCAGCTTGCCCAGACTGGCTCCAAGCTCCGGGCGACAACCATTTCAGTGCTGCCAGTGTCCAGGAGGAGGAAAACAGTGGCGGATGCCAGAAAAATGCGAGGGGTGGCTCATGGTGGCTCAACATGCCTTTGTTCGCAGACCGGCCGAAGTGTTGAACTCTGAAGTCTATACTCAATTCGGCTGACAATCTGCTGGTGTCAGTGCTTAGTTTCTCGATGCAAGTGCCCAGCCGCCGGCTTGAGATGTGTAGGCAATCTAGCCTACGGTGCGCTCACGAGTGCCTGCCGGTGCTGACGCGCTTCATGTAACCTGTAATGCCACACTCAAATACCCATTTCACACTTTTTCGCACACTACTCGCCAGTTCTTGCGACCTCAGTGCCGTCACAGGACTGAGCTCCCGCTCTCTCCCGCAATGCTACGTCTCGGCCCCCAGCTGGCTCTGCTCGTGCACCGGTCCTTTCATCTGCCAGCTCAAGCCAACAGATTGCGACCGGCGCGCACTGTATGCCGGTACAATGATGTCTCTAGGTTTCGGGAAGGTCTAGATTCTAGGTTGCATCTTTGCACGAAGGCCGCGAAGTCGGACACCCAGCACAGGCTCCTGACGCGCTGCCTCAAGCGCTCGAGGCGTTGCAGCCGGCGCCGCGACTTGGAGACCACACCTGCTGGCAAGGCTTGAGGCTGAGTTATCGACTTGGTCGGCTCGGAGGCGTTCAGGCTGTTCATCCGGACTCCAACTGGGGACGGCGACGTGGCACGGACGGCACACCAGGAACACAAGAAACACAAGTCGGAGCAGAAAGAAACAGCTGATTGGAAGAACATCACCGTCAGCAGAATCGAGCAAGAAGCCAATCCCGGTCACGATAAATTCACCTGACCCTTCAAAAGTGCCTGCCACCGCCAGAAACAAGGAGATCATCCACTGTTCCCAGGTTCCGAGGAGAGCGCAATGTCTTTTTTGGCCCCTCGCATCTCACATGCAAGAGCTACAGAAGTCCAGTGCATGTCCTGGCTGCCTGGCCAGGGCAAGTCCTTCTGCTGCGGAAGTACACGCAGGCAGCTTTCCTCTGCTTGTGTTCGCGAGCCGCCGCCTTCGGCACCTCGCTGTCGCTGTTGATTCTGAGCCCGCAGAGCTGAGTCGGAGCTAGCAGCTAGCACTGCGACATACTGCGACTGTTCATGGATCTCAGAGTGGGCTCGTCTTCTGCGTCTTCCCATGTTGGGGATTGCGGCGGCAGCACCCCCTCTTCCTCAACCGCCTCAACCTGCAAGCTGCTTCTTCATTCCACCGGACTTGATCATCATGATCCCGACCAGAACTCGAGCAGAATAAGTTGCACACATCCTTTTGTAGGCTAGTGCAAGTTGACGTATCCTCAGCCTGCGCTGCTTTGCAGCGACGGCAACTTTGTGCTCAGGGTGGAATACTTCTGACTCATTGTTCCAGCCTCGGGCAAGCCTTGAACGAAATCGAAAGCAGCGATGGCGAGCCGTGTCCTTTGCCGGCCAGAAAGAGCACGACACTGCATTCCGAGGAGGCCGACCCTAAACCCTAAACCCTAAACCCGGGCAACACCGAGAGCCACGCAGAAGGCCTCAGAGAAGTCGCTGCAATTGCGGCGGAGGCAGTGGTACTCGTAAGCCAACCATGTTGAATCGAAGCAGTGCAAGAGAAGGTTCACCCATGTTCACCTCATCTTACGACAAAGATAAGGCCCCAAAGTCACGGACCCCCCATACGGATGGCACGCGCAGCTTCGATCAGCTTCGGGGGCAGCATTCAACTCACGACCATGCACCTCCACTATCCTCCACTCCTGTGTGATAGAAGCCCCGCGATGCCCTTGAGAAACTTCTTCAAGCCGCGAGCTACTCGGTGCAGATCATAGGTGTGCAGCGTCGCAGCGTGGCGTTGCAAATCTGGAGGTCCAGCCGCCGCCAACGGAGTAGGGCAGGCCTCCTTCAGGCCTTACGTCCGTGCCATGGTCGGCGCTGACACGATACGTGTTTGGAGCTAGTCTCGGTGCGCGACGGGTGCTAAAGGCACGCGTCGGGCACCTGAGGACTTCATGCAGGCTTTGTGCTTCATGTACGATCACGGCTGCAGGCAGCATGCTACCCGCGAAAAGCCTATGGATCGTCTTCCGGCGAATGCAAAGGGAGAATTCAGGTTGACTCGGACCATGACTAAATAAGCCCAAAAGCATTCCGCCCCGGCGGCTCCCACAAAAGCCTGTAGGGCAACCAACGAGAAGGCCTCCGATTGGACGCAGCATCGTAGGCGCCGGCGGTGCGACGTCTTGCGGGGCCTCTACCTGCCATAGCGATGCTCAAGACACCGAAAAGGTGGCCCCGAAAAGTCGCCACCCCTTGCAGCCGAGATGTCCCCTTCCACTTCGAACGACACAGGAACTGCACAGACAAGTCACAAGGCGTGGAAGTACATCCTTTGGCAGGATTCAATGTCAAGCAGGAATGCATCTGCGCCGAAGACTTCAAGCCTCAAGTCTAGAGAAGAGGAGCCTTACCACGAGCGACTGCGTGCACGCACGACGAGCATTTGTTAATCACAGTAGTCATACTCCTCCTGTTAAACGCATCATCAATGGTAGTCTTTGTTTTTGTACCGATGCTTTCGAGTGCAGGGTGAGGGGTGTAGTACTAGTAGCAGCACGAGCACTTGTCGTGTGAAACTCGAACTGGCATTTGGAGGAAGAGGGGGAAGGGGGAGGAGCAGGAGTAGGAGTCGGAGTTCGGAGTGGGAGTAGGAGGAGTGGAAGGAGCAGGCGGAGTAGGAGAAGGAGGATAGTAGTAGTAGTAGTAGTAGTAGTAGTAGTAGTAGTAGTTGCTGTTGTTGTTGTTGTAGTAGTTGTAGTAGTTGTAGTAGTTGTAGTAGTTGTAGTAGTTGTAGTAGTTGTAGTAGTTGCAGTAGTTGTAGTAGTTGTAGTAGTTGTAGTAGTTGTAGTAGTTGTAGTAGTTGTAGTAGTTGTAGTAGTAGTTGTTGTTGTAGTTCTAGTAGTAGTAGTAGTAGTAGTAGTAGTAGGAGTACTACTACCACTACTACTACTACTACTACTACTACTACTACGACGACTACGAGTACGAGTACGAGTACTAGT